TTAATTTTAGCAGATTAAACTTCATTTCAAAGGACATAATGCTTTATAAACTGCTGAGTTTCAGCTCTGTTGGCGTGGAGAGGACAGTGAAGAAGCTGAGGTTGTCCAAAGCCCTCACCATTCCTGAGGGTACCACAGTGTCTGATGCTTGTAGGAGGATGGCTGCTCGTCGTGTTGATGCTGTATTGCTGACTGATGCTAATGCTTTGCTTTCTGGGATTGTAACTGACAAGGTTGTTTTTGTTTGATATGTTCTATATATTTCATTACTTTTATTGTTTCTGGTGTTGTAATTTTTTTTTTATATCATTGTTAGGATATTGCTGCGAGAGTAATCGCAGATGGATTGAGACCTGAACAGACAATTGTGTCAAAGATCATGACTCGGAATCCAATTTTTGTCACTTCAGACTCCTTGGCCATTGATGCCCTTCAGAAAATGGCTCAGGGTTAGCATTTTTCAAACTTCTTAACTCTGTGGGTTTAATTGAGTAGGTTATTTTAGGTCCTTTTTTTGGGCAAATTGGAGGCTTATTTAGGTCAGTGTTGATCACTTGAGTGCTCAATTAACTGAGTGAAATAAAATCATCATTTCATTGGAGGTTTTCCGGTTTAAAAAGAATGGCTGGACATTAATGTATGTCTCTTACATGGAAGAGTTTTAGAAAATGATAAAAGCTTATTATTGTTCCTCTTCAGAACTGTCAACATTTTTAATTTTAATTGAAGTTGGCAAGTTTTTCAAAATCAATGCTTCTTGGTGTAAGATAGATGATATAGACTTTTCCCCCTTTTTTGTTTCATAAATTCCTAAGACTTTTAATTTACTAAGAAGTAGAATTCCTATTCTAACTAGGACTAAAGCTCATCATTTTCTAATATACACCTGAATAATCATAATTGCACGTTCTACACAATGTAATTAATTCTTCTATAGTTTCTTGTACATCAAGTGCAGAGCCAGAAATTCGTTCTTAGGAGCTTGGAACAATATCCCATTTTTAGGATGAGGAAAACTCCTCTTCATCCTCTGTGTTCAGCTTGGAGGGTGGACCTTAGTACAGTGACTATGACCTTCAGCCACTAGCACAGTCAAATCATGGGTTTTATCTCAAGATGGTAAAGGGCTAGCTCAAACTCCTTCCCTTGCATTGGTGAGGAGCTGCTGCCTTACCACTTGAGCTACCCCGTGGGGTCTGGTTTGGAACAATATCTTGATAAAAAAGACTGTATGTAAATTTATTGTATTGTCTTGTTCTTTTTCTGAAAAGTTATAATTACTTAATACAATGATTTTTAGAAATACATTTGGCCTGGAAGAATAGGTTTCAATTACTTATTGTTATTAATTAATTAACGGCTCTCTGTCAGTGCCCATTTGGTCTCCCTTCTTCATTTCAGTTTTATTTTATGACTATTTTGTAGCATGGCCTAGTGATACCTTCCAAAAAATTCTCTCTAGTAGATCTCAGCATACTGTATTTCTTACAATAGGTAAATTCAGACATCTTCCTGTTGTGGAGAATGGTGAAGTCATTGCATTGCTGGATATTACAAAATGCCTCTATGATGCCATCTCTAGAATGGAGAAAGCTGCTGAGCAAGGCAGTGCCATTGCAGCTGCTGTGGAAGGTGTTGAACGCCAGTGGGGGAGCAATTTTGCTGGTTGGTTAATAAATTTCCTGTGGTTTAATAATAAACATTATTATTGAAATCAAGGCTGCTTCACATTTTTTTTATCCTTACCAAACTGATTTAACTGCCTCTTTTGTAATTAAAATGTACTCCACTGTTTTTTACTGAAGTTTATCCATAAAGCTCAATATGCATTTGAAAAGTAGTTTTCCTATCATTCTTTATTATTCTTGTAGTAGAATTTGTAAACTGTATTGATAAGTTATCATCTGGTGCATTGAAAGAACGAATATTAAAAAATTTGGTGCAATTTGGAACTTCTTGAAAAATTGTGCCAATTAAGCTTGGATGTAACATGATTATGTGAAGACATGACCTTCAGAGGGAAGCTGATTATGTCAGAAATCTGTGTTATGGATTTTAACTGATGTTTAACTAATATAATTTTTTATAAAGGTTATTATTACTATTATTAATTTATTATTATTAAATACTTCTTCATGATAGAAGTTTCTGATATTATTTTCTAACTATTAATTATTAGAAATATTCTAGTAACTTTTTAATTTGGTGGAAGTTACAGATTTTGTGGTTTTGTTCTCATTTTATGGTGAAAGATATTTTTTTGTAAAATTCAGAATGGTTTCATACTTCATATCTAATTCCTCTACATTTTATTGTTGCTTTGTTTATGTCATCATCTATTTCAGTTCCATATGCTTTCATAGAGACCTTGAGGGAGCGGATGTTCAAGCCTTCATTGTCAACTATCATTGCTGAAAATTCAAAGTACTTAGTGTAGCTGCCTTTCATCCTTACATTCAGACATACAACTTTTTAAAGATGCTATGTTGTTCTTTTGTTACTGAATTTTTGGTTTAATCCCCTTCAGGGTTGCCTTTGTATCACCATCAGATCCTGTCTATGTTGCTGCAAAGAAGATGCGAGAGTTGCGAGTGAATTCAGTTATTATCATGACTGTGAACAAAATCCAGGGGATCCTGACGTAAAGTTTTCTCTTCACCAGCTTTTCATTAATATATACTTTGAAAATGTTGTAGCATCTCATAACTGGCATTAAATGTTTCTTTTTGCTGCTATTTCACTGCAGTTCAAAAGATATCCTAATGCGAGTTGTGGCACAAAATCTTTCTCCTGAGTTGACATTGCTGGAAAAGGTTTATTTTCAAATTCTCAGTTGGTGCATTACAATCTTTTATGGTCACTCTTGCTGTACATATGTGGGAAATATTAATGTTCTTGCTGCATTGCTTACTTCACATTTACTTTTGTTTGTTGTGTGTGATTTAATAATTTATGAAATAGAGTTCTTGAAATGCATGCATTAGCATAATGGTTACTGTGGTGAACATTTTATGTACCTATATTTTTTCATGCCTGAAATTTTTTATGAATAGATTTGTTATGCCTGGATTGTTGAAATGATGCATGTAACTTATCGTATTTGAGAGTGTTAGTGGTTCTCTCTTATTATTGTAAATGTGAAACTTTATCTGTTGCTTACTTGTAAATCATCCTGGAGTGGTTTTCTTGTTTTCCTTTTTTGGCTGGGTTTCCAATTAGCAATTCTAGATTTAGAGTGAAACATAGGACACCAAGTCTTAGAACATCATTTAGACTGATAAACTCGTAAACACAGTGTTAAACTAAGATTTATTGATAATAAACCTATCATAAAATCCTAATAGAAATAGGAAAGATGTAAAATATTTAAAATAAAGTCCTAAAGTAACTAAGACATGGTTCTAAAAATAGGAATAGGAAGGTAAATTAATTAAAATAAAGTCTTAAAGTAACTAAAACATAGTTCTAATAGGAATAGGGTATCAGGAAAATACAATAATTATGACCTTTTCTAATGGGAAATAGGAATTATGTAGTTAGCATTTGCCTTCACTGGTCTTCACTGCTTGTGAAAAACTGACCTCTTGTTGACTGTAAGCTTGGGATAAATCTTCTCTTCCAATTCAAAATATGGAAATATATTAGCAACTGAAAGTTTGAGCAATGCCCATTGATTTGGGAAGATCAATAACAAGCAGGATCATTAATCCTTTTAAAGATCTTTTTTGGACAACACTTCTTTGGCCATAACTTCTTGTGAGTACCCACCAGAAAGTGTTCCTTGTGTAGGAAAACCATCACTGTATCACCTTAAGAATGAGGACTTTCTTTTCAATGCTTAGCTGCAGCTTTCTTGAATTCTTGTACTTAGCGTTAGCAACCTCTAACTTTTGCTTTAGTTTTTCTTGACTACTACATTCTTCCCATGGGACTTCCGTAGATGCACCAGATCAAGTGCATATTGTGGCATCTTCTGATCAAAATAGAGAGGTGAACTCTGCTTAAGCTAAGGAAAAGTCCCATTGCTATGATCAATCATCACAAATGTCTGGATCCTGTTTCCCAAAGTTCTATTCATTGATTCCGCTTGCTCCTCTATTTGTGGTTGTCACACTAAACTTCAATGAAGCATCAGACATCCACCACGAAGTGGTCCAAAAATGACTAAAGAATCTTGTATCTCAATCTAACACTATGGATTTAGGTACTTGTATCTCCACAAAGTAGCCCAAAAATGACTAAGTTTTCTATTATGAGATTTAGGTGTTGCGTGAAAAAGGTTAGTAGGAACATTGATATATGAAGTCCAAGTCTGAAAGAAATCTGGATTTTCAACATATGAATCCTTCATCTCCTTAAATCCCACAATTTTCTCCTTGAAAAAGTCAAAACCATCAATAAAACTCACCTACTCAAAGCATTTGAAACCTTATTCCTCTCTCCTAACTTAGGCACCAACTTTATATGAAAAAGTGGACCATTGAGCATGTAAATCACTACTTATCCTATTTTAGATGCTAAGGTGTTTCAATTTTCAAAGCAAGTATAGGATGAATTTTTTATCAATAACTTAATGCTCCCAATGCATCAATGCTTTAACAATTGCATAGAACTTCTTGTCATAAGTTGGCCATTGATTCTAGGCATCAGAATGCTACTCACTAAATTGTGCCACTAGACTCTTTTCTTGGGAAAGTACCACACCAATTCTAATCAAGTGTCACATTCCACCTCAAATAACTTCTCAAAGTTCAGCAAGGCTAACATTGGGCATTGTACAAGGATTCTCTTTTATCAAAACAAAGCTTGCATTTGCTTTTTCCCAATGGAACTTTCCCTTCTTCAAAACCTAGTTAAAATTTCATATGAATCACCATGGCAAGTCCATGAAAACTTCTTACCTCCATTAATTAATTGTCTTAGGTGTTGGCCAATTAGGAATTCACTCAAACCTTTGTGACATTTTAACCATGAAATAGAAGCTTGTTAGTAATGAAGTCACACTTAAGATTCAAATTTAGCCTATTCTTTAGCAGAACAATCAACAACTGATGCAAGTGCTTTAAATGCTCTTCAATCCACTTGTTGTACGCTAAGATTATCATCAAAATACAAAACAACAAATTAACCAATAAAGTGCTTGAGTACCTGGTTCATGAGTCACATGAAGGTACTAGGTGCATTAGTCAACTTGAAAACCATCATCAACTATCCATACAAACTATCTCTAGTCTTGGAAAGTTGATCGCAAAAAATATATATATATATCTCTAGTCTTGGAAGATATTTTCCACTCATCTCCTGATCTAATTTGGATATGATGGTACCCACTCAAAAGGTCAATTTTGGTGAATATTGCTGCTCCATTTAGTTGATCTCACTTGTCATTCAATGTCATAATAAAAAACTTGTCCCCAACAGTTATCTTACAAATAATGCCAACTACCATCCTTCTTTAAAGACGGTAAGGTTGGAACTGCACATGCACACATGTTTTCTCTAATAAGTCCTTTCTTCAATAATTCATCCACCTTTTCCTTCAATATCACTTTCTTTTGGATTCATGTGGTAATGAGGACGATTTGGCGAACTTGCTCAGGGAAACAAATCTGTGATATTGAATATCTTGCATGGGAGGTAGATTGTTTGGGAAAAGCTCTTCCAGAATGATATAGTGAAATTCTGCAGCTAGGGGTGTCACCTTGTCGGGTACTTAACTCACCTTCTCTTTGGTTGGTAATTCTTTCAACACTAACAAAATACAAGTCTTGAGACTCTTTGCAATTTTCTATAAATTCTTGTCTTGAATGAGCAACAATTAAGAAAGTTTTTCCTTCCACCATAAGAGCAGCTTGAGGTCAATCTGTTAGATAAAGGTAATAGAGCTTATCTTTCATTTTGCAATCGATAGACATTATCGTATGCTACCTAAGTACTTTGCATTTGTGTCAAATTGCAATGGCCTCTCAAAAACATGAGACACATTTATATCTATTGCATATAAACCTCATCTTATACTTCCTGATGGAAAATGACACTTTACATTGCTCCCTCACCTCCTCTCAATTTTGTTGGGGATTTGGGTGTTTCTCCACTTGCAGCTGCAGCTTTTAGATAGCCTTTTTTCCAATTATATTCTCTTGTTTGTTGCTATTAAAAATCAAAGTTTTGGGATTGAATCTCACACTTACTTTTATACATTTCTTTGATTTTAGTTCCTGCTTTGGTGTCAACATCATCTTTCTCACAGCATAGGCTTGCCCATTCTCTTCCTCTTTCATTTTAGGTCACAAAGGACATCTTCAACATCTTCATCTTGCTCCACCTAAGCAACATTCTTTTGCTGGGGGCAGTCACTTAACCTGTGCCCAAGTTGATAGCAGTTAAAGCACTTCCCAAAGATCATCCAGTTAGTGCCTGCACCCCACTCAATGGCCTTAGGACTGTTGCCTCGTGCTTTGTTTGCCATGATACTAGTATTAAGAGTCCTGCTTTGATACCAAACTGAGGCAGCCTGAAATGTAGGATACCAAGTCTAAAAACATGTTTAGACTTAAAAATGATACCCAGTATTAATCCTATCATGAAATCCTAATAGAGACTAGGAAATAAAAAGGAAATAGAGTTCTAATGCTAAGATGTGGATCATAAAGTCACATGCCTCATCAATTCTAGTGAATTAAAAATAGTTTTTGCATAACCGTAAAATGAAATTAGCTAGTTACTTATGTGATAATCTTGTAATGACTAAAATATTTTTGGGCACTTGAAAAAATGATTTTGATTCCATTTATTTCTGTAATGACTTACTGATGAATGGGATAATTTCACATCCATATGACAATTTAATAGTTTTTGCAGTGTTGAGCATCTGACTTTAACTATATCTGGAATTGCATATAATATTCTAGAAATGACATTAAGTGGATCTAATATGGATGGTGATGTTTGTCAGCACTTGAATTGTTTCCAAGATCCTGAGTTTTTTATGCATGTGTAATCACTCAGGTTTCCTGTTTTATCTAGGTAATGACGCCAAACCCTGAATGTGTAACTGTAGAAACAACAATCCTTGACGCATTGCATATAATGCATGATGGAAAATTTCTGCATCTTCCTGTTTTAGACAAAGGTGGGTATTAGTTTCTTAACTTCAGTTTATAGAAGTCATTTGCATTTCCATACACTTAAATTCAGTTGCTGGTGCAGATGGATCTGTTGCTGCTTGTGTAGATGTTCTGCAGATAACTCATGCAGCAATTTCTATGGTATGTAAAATGTTGGACTTCTATGTTAATGATTGCTTTAATGGATCAAAGCATTTTATACTTCAAAGATGGAAACTATTGAACTTAATTTCGCATGTTTGCAATAACACCATGATGCCATAATCCTGCCTTAAAAGGAGTATCTATATTATAACCAATGTAATTATGCTGGCCTTGACTCGTTACTCGCAGATGGGGCAGTTTGCATGTAGCCATGGGATTAGTCAAGTCAAATGCCCACATACCCATGTTATCCAAAAAATGTAAATATACTGCTATGCTGTAGTAGTAATAATTTTTATAGTTGGAATCAGGTGGTGGAAATTTTATCTTTCCACTGTTTCTTTTCTCTAGCTACTTGGAACTGGAAATTGCAGAATTGGTACCTTCAATTTTACATGAAGTAAACAGCAAATTTGAAGGATATAATTGAAATCAAATTCCAGAGCTGCAGGGCTTAAAAACAAAAAAAGGTTCTTGGCATAAAATTAGCTGAAAATATCAGAGAAGTATCCAACAAGTTTTTATATGTTCTTTGGGCAGCCTCTATTAAAATTTTCCTGGAATGTGTTAACTTCTTTCTTTCCTTTTTCATGTTTTGAGTTTGTAGAATTAATATTTAGTGCAGCTGTGGGAACAGTCCTGAAAGTGATAATTTAGTTTGTTAAGAACAGGCATTTACCCTGTTGGTTGTGGTGTTTAAATGTGTTTGATGATTATGGTATCTTACAGCAAGTAAACCACCCCATGAGAGAAGAATATAAGAAAACCATTATTGAGGGGAAGTGAACCTATTCTTGAGAAGATAAAACAAACAAGAAAAGTGTTTAATGATCTAGGCATCTGGCAAGTCTTTATTATTATTATTTTTTTGAATCAGCATCTAGGCATCTAGTGACTATTATTGAGATGTGTCCTGAGATCTCAGGTAATAAAATATATTATTATTTTATTTTTTTGTCCAATTATTATTATTTTGATTGACAAATTTATAAAATGTTGCTGTATTTATGTTGTGATGTTGTATACCCTGCAATCTTCATTATTATAAAACATATCAATGTAAAGTTTTGAGGTATTTTTCACTCTTTTGTTTTTCTTTTACATTTTTCCAGGTTGAAAATAGCTCAGGAGCTGTTAATGATATGGCCAATTCAATGATGCAAAAATTCTGGGATTCGGCCCTTGCTTTAGAGCCACCTGAGGATTATGACACACAAAGGTATTCCTAATGCTGCCTTCTTTAAGGTGCAACCTGTTTGGGATATATTTGGAACTAATCGCCTAGAATATTCTTTTCAGTGAAATGTCAGTGCTAATGGCATCTGATGGGGCAGAAACTGGAAAGCTGTCGTCATATCCATCTATTGGCCTCGGAAACTCATTTAATTTCAAATTTGAGGATCTTAAGGGCCGTATGCATCGGATCAATTGTGGTAGGTTGCACAACACAGTTGAAAAATTAGGAGCTGGTTTTTTTACTAGGAAGGCATTTAGACCAATAAGCCCCAGATGCCATGATTTCCTACTGTTTACACGATTTTTGAGGAAACACCTACACATCTAGAACTTATTCCCAATTTATAATTTTACCTTTGCTACCCTTAAAAAAAGAAATAAAAATAATGAGACTTTTTTATGATAGGATGGATAAGTCAAGGGATAATGATAAGGTTAAATAGAAAAAAAATAGCCCCCTTAAATTATGACAAAATGAATTCTAAATCAAAAAATGTATATTATTCTAGGACAAGTTCTAAATTTGAATGGAGGGAGTAGTTATTTAGTGAGAGTTGATCCAACTCTTTTATTGAAGACAAAATAAGGAAGGGAAGAAAATGGGATTGAAAGAAGGCCAGAAATCCTGAAACAGAATAGGAAATGAGCACATATACTTAGGCTTTACAAATAAAAATGTTTGCCTCTGACTGTCCTATCATTGTTCCCAGAATTAAGCGTTTAGGTGTGGAACCAGAAATCAACATATTTGCTTTATCATTTTGTTCATTAGGTGCGGAGAATTTTGAGGGGCTTGTATCTGCTGTCATGCAAAGAATTGGCACTGGTAATGATTGGGACTGCCACCTGCTGGTGAGTTTGGAGTCTGTCATTCATTCATTTTCAGATAATTTTGCAACTGTGTTATAAATTTTTCGACTCATTCATTTAACTCTAGTATGAAGATGATGAAGGTGATAAGGTTTTACTAGCAAGTGATGGCGATCTTGTTGGTGCTGTTAACCATGCTAGATCACTGGGACTAAAGGTAACAAGTATCCTTTTCTTTAGTCAACTCTATATTAAACTTGGAATAAATAGTTTTATTTTGTTGGTGAAAAAATATGAATAAAGAAAATTTTACATTTGCGTTTTTGTTCTCTCATAATTTTATCAGATCTCTGTCTCAGGTTTTGAGATTGCATCTGGACTTTTCTGACTCAAGCCAGCAACAGGTGAGGCTAGAGACAAGGACAAGCGCAGCTAAGAAAACTAGATGGGTGCCCTTTTGTATCTTGGCAGGCGCAGTTGTTGTAACAGGCATGGGAATGGTGGTCTACTTGAAACGCACCAAGTTGTGAGACGACATTGTTAAGGTTAAATTGATGGTAAGCTGCTCAACTTTCTAGGGCTTTGAATACGAGCTGCTCAACTTAGGAGAGCAAGAAATAGCCACCTGGACTCGATTAAGGGAAGAAATAAGCTCCTAAACTACTTAGGGGGACAATATATTAACTCTTTTTCTAACTGTTGGATGGCGCGTGATCCATCTTGGGCCAAGTGTGATAGTTAAAAATGGGTTAATTTCAGTTTGGTTTTTAAACATTTCAAATTTCAGGAAAAATATGTCCTTAAAATTTAAGAAATTTAAACAAATTATACAAGATTCTAGTTTGAACTTCTCTTTTCTTGCATGATTCCAATTGTCAACTTGTTACCGTGTCGAATTAGATTAATATCGACCAATTAATTTTCGTACACATAGAAAAAAGAAAGATAAAATTTATTAATTTTAAATGAAAACTAACCTTCCCATAGGGCCAGTTCTATAAGATTGGAATGTGTTGTCGCTTACAATGGTTAGTGGGATTTACATTGATTATAAAAAGAAATTATTAGACAAAATAACAAAATTGCATGTAGGCTGTTAGCTAGTAGAGCAACTTAGTTGTAACTCATAAGCTACTCGAGTTCAGCTCAATATGAGTACATTAAAAAATGAATTATTCGGAGTACTTAATTTATAATTAAAAATTATTATAATCTATATTTATTTGGAGAAAAAGAAAAATCATGATGTCTTAGTATTAAAAATATCAAAACATTCAATTATAACTATTAGATATGTATTGTGTGGGTTTTAGTTTTATCAAATTCATCAATTGGTTATTATTAGATATTCAAAACATCTTAATTTTTTCTTCTTATATTTATCTATCTATTTATATACTATATAAAATGCGACTCTCGCAGCATTAGTTAAATAGTAATTTTGTCCTTTTATTTTAATTATAAAAAATAAATTTGTTAAAAAAGAAAAAAGAGTTATATTATTCTTACATAAAAATATAATAAATATAATTTATAATTTATTTCAACGTTTTTTTTACGAAAACAATTTCAACTTTTTTATTCTCTTCAATTTTTTATCTTCATAGTTATTTTAACATTATTATTTTTAGTTACACGTAATGTATTAAATTAAGGGAAGAGTAATCAAAATCAATTTTTACGAAGAAGGACAAATTATAGAATTATAATATATAGTAATTATTTGTGCAATACTAAAAATTCTAAATAACCTAATTTACTTTTATTGTTTTTAAAGATACGAGACTTTTCTTTTCACCTTTTATGTAAACAATTTTATGTTGATGAATTATAGGAAGATAGATGTAAGAAAGCATGGAAAGTAAAAGTTGTGAATATACAAAAATTCAATTATAATTTATTTAAATAATAAAAAGTGTATCCTCAGTTAAAATTATAATATAATAGTTGATAATAGAAGATTAAGAGGCACATAATTAATAATGTAACATATAAATGATAATTATTATATTATTTTAATATTAATTTAAAAAATAATAAGAAAAATTACACATAACCTAGTTTTAATTTAAGGTGACTACATTTAAAGGCTTGTGGTATTGAAATGTGCACGTAAAGACTTGTGTTTTAAACCTTGAGCACTAAACCACTCTTGCCATTCAAATGATGTTAAAATTATGTGCAATATCTTAAATACATTTGACCTAAAAAAAAGAGAAAAAGCTCTACCGTTGCAAAAATAACTCTAAAGGTAATCAAACAAAATTTTTTAATCTATTGTAGTTTATATTCCAAAATGAAACTTTGTTTCTAATTTTCTTTTATTGATTTTTTTGTGTTCGGTTGGAAATTTTGTTAATTGTTTAGGATTTAAAAAGTAAGGATTTCATTTGAAAATTGAAGGTTCTACCTTGGTCATCTGCAATTATAAATAATATATTTTTGATTTTATGTATATTTACTTTTAATTAGTTTCAATAAAACATGGTAATTAAGAATATTTTATACATGTACAATTTTTTTTTCAATTGAATTACGCAAGTGGTTTGAATGTAGCTAGTTAAAATGAATGAATGAATTAATTAATTATTATTGTTTTTTTATGTATTTTAACAGATGGATGGTAATGAGTTGCCAAGAAATAATGAAACTATAAGTGGTTCTAATGAGTCAAACCAACTATAATTTAACTTTTAGTGTTGGGCAAGGTGGTGGTGTTATGTAGGAAGGGTGTTAGAGGAATTAAGATAAAAAGTGAAGTTTTTCGTTAGGTTTTAATGGCAAAAGTGTTTTGTTACTTTTATTTTAAAACACAGGTTTTTAAATGTACATTTTGATACCATAGGCTTTTAAATGAACTTATCCTAAATCACAGATAGGTTAAGTGTAATTTTTCTAAAATAATATTAAAGAAAAAAAATTTAAAGTAATTTATTAATAATTTGAATATGGTTTATCTCTATATTAATGCACAAGGTAATAAGCAAATAATTTAGGGGAAATAAAGATTAAAGATGAATGTGCTATTGTTATAATTAATATTGCTATTATTGCCTAACTCAAAAATAAAAGTGCAAGTGAGTATGGAAGGCAAAAGGTCTTAATGTATAAAAAAATTTTAATGAAAAATGTAATTTTAGTTGTAATTATTATATCATAGTTTAATAAAAAATGTAATTTCAATTATAATTATTATATCGCGGTTTGTAGTTGAAGATGGAAAGGAATACAAATGACAATTATTGATTTATTAAAACATCAATTGTCAGTAACACAAAAAATTTGAACAATGTAAAACTTGTTTATAAGCAAAAAGGGACTAAAATAGAACTAATATGTCTAATCTTAATGGGACATTAAAATCAACAACTTAAGCATAATTAGGTGAATGGATGACAAAAAATTGTACCAAAAAAAGAAAAAGATGACAAAATGTTTGAATCCATTTTGCTGCTCAAAATTAAACAAATAAATACATTAATTAATTTATGTATATATATTATGCATAACAACTATTTGTGCAATTACAATTTGTCTTAAGTGCTTCATTTTCAAATTCTTCATGTACATTTCACGATATAAGGAAAAAATGCATTTCCATTAAATTTTTTTAAATATTTCTCTAATTTTTATCTAGGTAATATTCCATCAAATCTATCCTCAAGTTAGCCATGTTTGCAAAGGTAAATACTTAATTTTTTTCTTGATTATTTTCACTAGATTTATATATTTCCCAAAAGTATTAAAAATTTACTTTTTAGAAAATGAATAATTAATTGAAAAGATAGATTCTTGGTATTTGATTTCTACTACTAACATCTTTGGTCTAATAATGACACTTATCTATTTCTTTAATATATAATTCACTGTCTCTTTTTAGAAATTGAAAAACCTTAGAAGTTCAGGATGAGGATGGAAAACAAAGAAGATTTTGTCAATGAGATCAACTTGCCATGAAGACTTTTTGTGCTTTGTATATTTGTTGGCAATTCTTTCTTTAATTAGATTTTTATGAGTAAATTAAAAGAAAAAAAGTGAAAATTATTGCTTTCTTATCATTTCCAGGTGTATTCTGTTGCTATGTCTGAAAAAGTTGGGTAACATGAGTACATGCATTTTGTTTTTCAAAATGGGCTGCTACTAAGTTTAGTCTTTTTTCAAGAATTGATTATTTGAACTCATTATTAATGCTTAACATACCTCAATACACGTCAATGACTTAAATAGTTAAGTGATAATAATTTTTAATGAAAATAAGAGGTTTTGAGTTTAAATTACATAACATACGGGTGCAGTAAGGTTAAGGGATAAGAAAGTGTTGATCAAAAAGAAAAAAAAAAACCTCGATACATCATGAACATGATATAAGAGATTAATTTTTATTTTAAACATAAATTAATGAAGCACCTAAGCAACAACTCAAGAGCAAGATAAGTCATGAGAACTTGGAGTCTATCTAATTATGTAGTACATCCATATTGTTAGGTTGCTTCTTCAAGCATGGTAAATTTCTTGGGTGCCTTAAAATGATTTGTTAGGCTTATAAACTGTTGAGGGATGAGTTTATATAGTTACATCACCAATGACGTGTGCGGATCCACATCAATAAGGGCCCCACAACGTTCACTTCTCACATTGGATGTGCAGTTCCTATTTTCTACTAATTGCTGCAATAGAATCAACATCACCGGAAGCAGTACTCAACATTATTCTCTTATATATCACCTAGAGTGGCATTTATCCACTTCGTTAGTAATGATACAAACATGTTCTACTTCAGCAGCATTCCCTTACATATGGCCAGACACGGCTACATTATCTACACAACATGGCTGGGTGTTTTTGATGATCATGTCCTTTGTAGTGATGTTTATTGCTACATATTTTGGCTCTCAGTAATGGATAAAGAGCCTATTTTGCTGTATAGTTCCCATCAATGGACAACAAGCTGATCTTATTATATCTACACAGCTCCCAACGATGGACAAAGGGTCAAATTTACTATCTCATTTAGCCTCCAATAATGGACAAAAAGCTACACATTTCTACATATTTTTATTTCACTAGACTGTCGGTAATGGACAAAGGGTCGGATTTTTACATATTCTATCTCATTGGCTCTTGAAAACGAACAAAGAGTTAGTGTAACTCGGTACGATTAGCATGAGGCCGATAATAGTTGCAACCATGCGATCGGATGGGACAATTACCCTCCAGCGATAAAAATCCATCAAGTAACGGCTGATGGTCCTTTGGTGGTTGCTCGTGCTTGGTGGTGAGATGCCCAGCGGGCAACAACAACCAAAACCACCCTATGACAGTGCTGGTATGGCAAGAAGGGCCAACGTTTGTTAGTGATATCACGTTGTCGTATTGGAGGCCATGGATGCGGCTGGTGTCCCCCTTCCATGGAGATAACTCCACATTTCTCTATACATATTTATCATTATGGCGGAGTCTGGTTTAATGAGATTTACCCCTTTGTGGCTTGGCAGATTAGTGAGAGTGCTTTTTCAATTCCACATAGTTCACGCTCCAGCCATGGACAAAATTAGTCATTGTTGTCTCTCTAGCTATGGGAAGGCTATGTATGGCTGACCCCATGATACATATATAACATGGTCAGAGGTCATGCACATTGTTATTCTTCTACACAAAGGGACAAAATTATTGACCGTTGGTAATCCCAACTCATAACACATTTTTTATGTCTTATGTGTTAGCAAGTATTGCCGGCCAATGAAGCTTAACTTGGGACAACAATATCGCAGTGCACATCTATACCACTCGTTCTTCATTTTGGTGCAACGTTAACTATGTTCAACAGCAATATATTGATGCTGGCCATGGCCAGTAGGCAAATGAGAGCAGCGAATATTCATTCACATAGTCCCCTTCAACAATGAGGGAGTTTCCTTCTTCACTACATATGCCTATATGTTTCTTATTCTTAAATATCTAAACATATATTCACGTGTCTTACTGTTATTGTAGATAAACACAAGCCTATGAATCCAAGCTCATGGGGATTATTCGGGATAAATTATGAGAGTAGTGGCTTGGTAGACATGGATGGATGAACGTTGTCCATCTAGCGAAGGCATCCGCACAAGCGAAGCTTGGCACTGGTGATGCTGCCTAACTTTGCCAGAAAGAGGCTGGGTGGCAAAGACATGGAAATGAACTTGATTTTTGGAACACTGCCGTTTGATGTTAAGGGAAGATTGGAAATCCCGCCAGAAACTAACCAGAGGTGCTGTCTTGCTCACCATCAACAACTTGCAGCCATATTTAATGCAAGGGTGGCTACACAAGTTCTATGGCATTGGAAATTGCTGTAAAAGATTGTTATCTGCTTACAGAATCTTTCAAAAATCTTGTGCAAAGCATGGGGAACTCACCAAATCCTATGTAGATGTTGTTTTGCCGGCTGCATTCAAGTACCTCCCTAAGAATGGAATTTCGTATAGCTGGGGACATTACCAAAGATATACAATTTTCAGTTTCTTCACCAAAACCAGTAAAACTTTGTTGGGAGCATTGGGTGATTTATGATGTCATTGTCACAAAGTTGCCAGTAGTGCCTAGAACCACCGAAAATTCGATAGTTCACCCTAACCTTTCTGCACACCTCTAAGCCACTAACCAAAAATTATAACAGTACCACTGCATATATATATATATATATAAATTATTAGCCCTTCATATATATATATATTTGAAGAAGAACGGAGAAAAAAGAGACGCATGTAGCACAACAACAGACTTACACACCAAACTCTCATTTCTCCTCTAAAGAAAAATAGATCCCATCTTCAGCCCACTGCCCTGCACGTAGAAACACTCGTAAGCCACCACTTTTCTTGGGTTTCTAGTGTCTCCAATTCTGCAGAGTATTTTCCAACTCTGCAGAATGTTTTCTGGCTCTGGAAAGTATTTTCCAGCATTGTAGAACATTCTCCAACCTTGTAGAACATTTTTTCACACTACAGAATATCTTTTCAACATTGTAAAATATCACCAAGCACTGTAGAATATTTCTAGATTTGTAGGATATTATGGCTGTGAAACAACATGTTGTAGTTTCAGCTTTCGGGTAATCCTTCTTGAGCATCAGATGATCAAGATTGCAAGGTTAGCATAAAAAATGGGATCAAGTGTTCCATTTGTAAGCTCCCAAGCGGTCACCCTTCCTTCTCCCATCACCACTCTCAAGTTTATCTCGTCTTTGGAAGAACCTCAAGATTAGAGTTGTTGCACTCTTCATCTTTAATATGAGAATTGTTCGTTATAGAGTAAAAGTCTACACTAGAGATGAAAGAGGTCACATTTATTGTCATTATTATTATGTTACAATGATTTATGTATAAGTGTGATTCTCGAATTGTAATCTTTGAATCATATGTGTTTCACATCTCTACTGCCCTTCCTTAACAACGCACAACTTCTCCCCATCATGTTTTTTGGTAGTTGTGTAATCATCTTGAATCCTTGGAATCCTGCTAGTATTGCCCAACTCCACCGGCTTGGTTGGAAGATTTTTCCTTTCAAAAGCTTTGTTTAAGAGTTTGCTGCAAGACATCATTGCCCAACAGAGTAGGATGGTCTGTAGCATGTAGCCTTCCGCATATGAGATGAGTGCCGTCAAAAGAGCCCTCCCATTTTCTCAGGTGTCATCCTAGTCAGCTCTCACGTCACCACCGTTACTGACTCATCCACCTACATCATCAACACCCCCGAACATAAACTTACTATCCTTATTAATGGGATGCAAAAGATCCTTATCTTCTCGCAAAATAATCTTTACCATTTAATCATTACATTTACCAATTTGATATATATATAAAGAAGTTAAAGATACAGTTTTATACTCATTTAGATTTTGCATTTCCTTCTATTTAGATCAGTAATATTCTAAAACATATCATTGTTAAAGGGGAAAACTCAACTCATATAGTGTCAATCATCTTAATAGTGTTAGGTCAATTCATATACTTTAATTAAAGGAGAAAAGACTATATTAGACTAGATATTAGGAAAATTTTTAGCTTTAAATTGTATTATAATAAACCAAACGAAAAGTCAAATTGATATTTAATTCATCCTGCTTCATAAAATTGTGAGACCAACTCTTTTTTTTTTAATTTTATTTTATTGTTTTACTATCTTATAAAATTCTCAATGGTAACTTGTATAGGTATTTGATTAATACCATTTTCAATTACTCTTCCTATATTAAAATAACTGTTGTTTTTTTACTTATTTTTTTTTCAAATTAAAGATTTGGAAACAATTCATATATATATATATATTATATTTTAAGGATAAGGGGAAACAATTCATATATATATATACATTTTTTAAGGATAAGGTTAACTCTTGTATTGCGACTCTTAAAGTCATGGGTAATTAAATGTATTCCTGGGCATACATAGATTTCTAGATTATATATGCATCTTTTATCTATTAAATTAACATAATAGGCCAAGATAATGCTTAATCAATCTACTAACAACCTCTAGAGATCTGGATCCTGATGGGAATCAAGACGATAGCACATGTATCACATTAAGTGATCCATTACACATTCAAGGAGGTCCAATCGTGAGAGTTAGAGAGCTAGAGTTAAGAAAATGTGAGAAACTTTAAATGACCTTTTTGAACAAATCTGGGTTGAATACAACATGCAACAAGTAAATTGAAGCTTGGATGATTATTAAGGCATGGAATACATCATTCAGATTCATGAGAAGCTTAGCTGAGGTCATTTGTACTAAATTCAATAGTTTACATCAATATCGCACACTTTTACAGCAATTTGTAGCAAACTAATATTTCATGTTATTTTATGTTATTTTGAGTGATTTTCATGTTTTCTATATTATTTTTGGGTTGAATATTCATTTATTTGAAACCTAATTCGTGATTATTAGGTTTAGGACTTAGGGTGTTAATTTCTCATTCTGATTATGATTAGTTGTTTCTATTTAAAAGGCTTGTAACCTTAATTGGGAGACAGCTATTGAATCTGAGTTTTTGAGAGACTCTTTCTTTGATTCGTTTCAAAACTTTACAGAATTTATCAAGATTATTCTTGTCACATTCTAACTTGACTTGTTATCCTTGTTCTTAACCATTCGAGGGTGTATGTCAACTAACTTTATACCTCTGGTTCTTATTACGTTATAGACAATGGGTCAAGGTCTTATCATAAACTTGATTTGGCTATCTTGGAGTTTCAAAATCCCTTTTCGTGCAGTTGGTCTCATTATTCTCTTGGGGTTCTTATCATCTTGGTATCAAAGCATCAAGTTTTAAATTAGGTTTGCGTATCTTTAATTTTCAATTTTTTACATAAAAAACAAAACAAAAAAATATTTCAATGTCTCTCTTATCTTCCTTGTTTGTTTTTTTGAATTTGTGTTGTTGGTTCAATAAAATAGAGAAAAAGCATGAAAATTTTTTTAAAAAAGGGAGAAGTCCTAAAAAAAAAAAAAAAAAGAAGAAAAAAAAAAGGAGAGAGAAACACGTAACACAAGACTATGTTTGAATTTCTTATGTGGAGAAGAAATCTGTGGTAAAATCCTTAAAGAAAGAGGAATCCTACTACAATAAAGAGTTGGAAATTCTCTTTGAATTTATTCAAATAAGGAGCTAGCAATTTTATTTATTCTTTCCTAAGTTAGGAATTCTACCGCATTGAGGAATAGTCAAGTCAATTCCTACTAGGAAGTGTTAGAATTAATCTGTCTTTCTTACATTGTGTTTCAATCGAATTTCCTTTTTTTTTTTTTTGTTTTAATTCATTTGGGTTTGGTTCTTTTATTGCTTTTCTTATTTGTTCTTTTGTGTCTATGCATTTCCTTTAATTCTTGTTGCACATTAATTGGAGTTGGATTGTTGGAAAATAACATGAATTGAGCTTGTTTAGTTCAATAACAAACTGAAAGAGGAAAGTTGAATGAAGGAAAAAGGCAAAAGGTGTGAGTAACACTTGAAAGAAAAGCCAAGTTCTATAGTGTACAAAACATGAGTGTTGAGTGCCATTTTGCGAGAGAATGAAGTGAAACATGTAAGGGAGTGTTATTAAGATCCTTTTATTTTCTATTTTTAACATACCTTGTAGGTTTCAATCATGTTGAGCAGCGATGACAAATCAACCACTAGGAAACACCACATGGATGAATCCGTCATGTTCAAAGTAATGCAACAACAATTTTAAAGATTGGACATCATGTTTGATGAGATTAAAGACAAAATGGAGAAGCAAGATGCAACCATAGCCAAGGTATAGCAAATACAGAATGAAAGTCTGAATCCAAGCTCATAGGGATTATTTAGGATAAACTATGAGAATAGTGGCTTGGCAGGTATGGCTAGATGAACGTTACCCGTTTGGCGAAGCAAGGCATCTGTACCAACGAAGCTTGGCGTTGGCGATGTTGCCTAACTTCGCTAGAAAGGGGCTAGGTGGCGGAGACATGGAAATGAACTTGATTCCTGGAACAGTGTCATTTGATGCTAACCAAAGGTTGGAAATCTCGTCAGAAACTAACCAGAGATACTGTCTTGGTCACCATCAGTAACTTGCAGCCATATTTAATGCAAGGGTGGCTACATAGGTTCCATGGCTCTGGAAACTGTTGTAAAAGATTACTATTTGTTTCCAAAATCTTCCAAAATCTTGTGCAGAACTTGAGGAACTTACCAAATCCTGTGTAGATGTTGTTTTTGTTGGCTGTAATCAAGCACTTCCCCAATGATGGGATTTCGTATGGCTGGGGGCATTGCCAAAAATATGCAATTTCTAGTTTTTCGCTAGAACCAGCAAAACTTCACTGGAACCGTTGGGCAATTCATGATGCCATTGTCACAGAGTTGTTAGCAGTGCTTGGAACCATCGAAAATTCGACAACTCAACCCAACCTATCTATACACCTCTAAGCCATCAACTAGAAATTACAACGATACCACTGCATATATATATTATTTGCCTTTCATTTTCAAGAAGATATAGATGCATACAACACAAAAACGGATTGACACACCTAACTTCAGCCCTTCTCTCTCACACACTTAACTCCCCTCCTTCCTCCAATGAAATACTCCATCTTTAACCTACTGCCCTGCATACAAAAAGCACTCGAAAATCACCATTTTCTCTAAGTCTTCAACATTGCAGAACATTTTCCAGTACTACAGAACACTTCCCAGCATTGCAAAACATTTTCTAGCATTGCAAAATATCTCCCAGCATCGTAGAACACTTCCAGATCTGCAGGATATTATGGCTGGGAAACAACATGTTGTAGTTTTAGCTTTCGGATAGTTCTTCTTGAGCATCAAACGATCAAGGTTACAAGGTTAGCATCAAAGACAACATCAAGTGTTCCATTCGTAAGCTCCCAAGCGGTCGACCCTCAAGTTTATCCTTTTGTCCTTGGAAGAATCTCAAGAGTGGAGTTGCTGCACTTTTCGTTTTCAATATGAGGATTGTTTGTTATAGAGTAAAGATATGCATTAGAGATGAAGGTCACATTTATTATCATTATTATCATGTCGTAATGATTTATGTCTGAATATGACTCTTAAGTTGTAATCTTTGAACCACATGTATTTTCCATCTTTGTTGCTCCTCCTTAACAACACACAACTTATCCCCATCATGTTTTTGATAGTTGTGTAATCATCTTGAACCTTTGGAGTTTCGCCATTGTTGCCCAACTCCACCAGCTTGGTTGGAAGATTTATCTTTTCAAAAGCTTTGCTAGAGAGTTCATTGCAATATATCATTGCTTAACAGAGTGGGATGGCCCGTAGCATGTAGCCTTCCACATGTGAGACAGGTGCCACCAAAAGAACCCCCCCATTTTCTCGAGTGTCATCCTAGTCAACTTCCACATCATCACTGCTGTTGACTCAATAGTCTACATCACCAACACCCTCGAATAGAATGGTGACTCCATTAGGGAGGTTGTCTTAGAGCTTCATCTTGTTCAGCTTTTCTTCAGTGACATAATATCTTTAGCATTCTACCTCAACAGTATTTATTTATTTTCAATAGAATTTTCTGGCCATGCCTATCACAAGGGCAACCTCATCTCACTTTGTTGATGGGAATCAAGAGCCCGACCAAGATGATGGATGGTAGGTTTAGTAGCTGCATCCATCAACAGATGTTTTTAATGACCTATTGTAAGGAATCACCGATCCTAGCCTTGCATCCCTAGTTCAAGTTGTCCGGGTCCTGCACGAAGACCAGCAAAAGACTACTCAACTCCTCACCAACTTATAGACCCAACATGTTGTGCAGGATCCAGCACAACCCATCAATATTCCTCGAACTTCCCAGCCACATGAAGTCCATACTACGGCTACCAATGGTAACGGAAGTTCTGTTGCGCAGCCGAATAACTCGGCACCACTAGTAGTTGCAACTACCAATACCGATGGAATTCCACCCAATGCAGCCAATTCTACCAAAGGTTATGTCACCATGGCAGGTTTTACTGCTCTCCTGGACAGGGAATGTTCCAAACACAAAACAACCCCTTTTCAATTTGTTCATGATCCACCCAACCCAAAGGAGATTCTATCCAGACCATACCCAAAGAAATATGAAAGTCCTACATTCTTGCAGTACAATGGAAGGAAATGCAGTGCTGTGGAGCACGTCAGTAATTTCCTTAATGCCATGAGGGCTCACGCGGATGACAAAGATTTATGTCTATGTGAGTTCTCAAAGTCTCTCTCTGATAGATCTTATACATGGTATACTACTTTGCTTCTCAGCACTGTCCATTCTTGGGACGAGATGGTGGAACAGTTTTGTTAAAAATATTTTCAAAGTGAAGAGTGCATCACCATCCTTGATCTCCATAACACCAACCAATACATTGGTGAGGATTTAATGGTGTATGTGAAAAGATGTAGGGATTTGGCACTCGATTGCTATGGTGGCCAAGCTGAATCCTTCGTAATGGAAATATGCATCAACAACATGTTTCCAGAATATCGCACTGCCCTTGAAAACATCGGGATCAACCAGTTTGCAAGGCTACTCAATGCCACCAAGAGAACAGCCATTTCTGTCAAAGCCATCTCTAATGGGAAATCTGTAGCGAAGTTGACAGAAAAGAAAACCGTGGCTCACACCTTGGCTGTCTTTGTTTGGGACCAAGACAAAGGACAGAAAAGAAGAGATCATGGTGCGGCACTGCCACCAACTATTCCTCTCATTGTCAAAGAACTCGACGTGTTCTTAGATTAATGGATCACTGACGATACCATCACACTACCTTAGGCGTATTGCGAGCCCAACGATGATGACAAAGTGCAACCTCAAGTACTGTCGCTACCATCGTTTTGTCCACCATTCGACCATGGACTGTTTTTCCTTAAGAAGGATGTATCATCGATGGGTTTCAGAAAGGCTATTAGAAGTGCCAAACAAGAGACAGAGGGTGGACGAAGATCCTTTCGCACACCACAACTTAGGTGCCGTCAATGTTCTCACTCATGTGGAGGCGTTGGAGCAAGTGAGCCAATAGTTAAAGTCCCTAACGATATGCCCAACTTCTTTCTCCATGCACTCCAATGAATTCTAAAGTTCAAGATGCTATTTGATCAGCTTGGTTTCACTATTGAGGCGCGACGAAGAACCACAAAGGCCATTCTCTCCATCGCCAATGAGGTTGGACGAGAATGCCTCAACACTAAAGCACATGTTAGCCACGCTTATCTTGAATCTTCTAATGTTGTCACTTTCACTAACGAAGATATGGAGGCACCATATGTTGACTATAGAAAGCCTCTTTACTTATCTGCTTAGATCAACTCTGTTGGTGACAAGCATGCACTGGTTGATACAACATCCTCTCTCAACCTGATACCATTGAGCACCATCATCCTGCAGGAATCCCCCAACGAAGAATCATCAAGTCTCCACTCAGCATTATTGGCTTTGACAGTAGCAGAGAGTATGCCCTTGGATACGTTCAGCTTGAATTAAAGGTCAGTCTAATCTAATCTCAAACGACATTCTATGTCATTGATGCTGAAGTTTCTTAACATATATTTCTAGGAAGACCATGGCTGCATCGACATAAATTGTCTCTTCTACTTAACATCAATGTGTCGACGGCCATCTAAATGGAAAGGTTTTCCACATCCTTGCCAACCTGTTGCCATTTGATCAGATTGAGACCCACTTTGCTGAAACTGCTTTTTGTGATGAATTCACCCCCTCTGGCAAAGCGACAGTATCTCGCCAAGGTGGCCTTGTCCTGCCAACATGGAATGACATCAAAGATAAACCTGATCTTGATCTGCGAAGCATCTTGGAACATAAAAGATAGAAGAAAGAGGTAGGAAAGGTTGTCCAAGTGTGTCCAAAGTGCACTCGAACTGTTCTTCCCGATGGGAGGGTCAAATATACTTTATGAAGGTGCGCGGGAACTCTCGGCCATGCACAAGATGGCCCCATCGCCAGTAGTGTAGCCATGTCTTTGGATCATCTATTCTTCACTTCGGAGGGAGACACTTCAATTGGTAAATGAGGCCTCTCCAACAAAGCAGAATGCCTCGCTCTAGAGACTGGAAATGAGATACTTGCTGAGCATCTAGATTTTTATGGCGAAGCTGAACATCTAGTACTGCCAGACAAGCTGCCAACCCTTCACTATGCTCAACTGGCCCTCACTTCTCTAGAGTCCCTCGAAGCTGTTGATCTTGGAGATGATTTAGCGAACCCCAGGCATGTACATATTAGCACCACTCTTTCTGTGGATGAAAGAGCCAAAATGGTTAATTTGCTCCGACAATACAAGAATGTTTTCGCCTGGAACTATGATGAAAATGCTGGGGCTTGATCTAACCTTGGTGGCATATTCTTTGAATGTTGATCCCAGTATGAAGCCAGTTATGCAGCCAAATTGCGCCTTTCATTCAAAGGTTACTTTGAAAATTAAAGAAGAAGTTGAAAAGCTCTTGGTTGCAAGATTCATCAAACCAAAAAAGAAGCCAAGTTGGCTAGCCAATATTATACCAGTTCGAAAGAAGAATGGGCAGATTAGGTGTTGTGTTGACTTTCGCAACCTTAACAAGGCATGTCGCAAAGATCAATTCTTTGTCCCAAACATGGACATGTTGATGGACAATACCGTTGGCTGCGAGATGTACTCTCTCATGGATGTGCCTTAGCGATGCAAAGAAAACTATTTTTCATACCCTTATTGGTAATTTCTACTATATTGTCAGTCTTTTGGACTAAAAAATGCTGGGGCTAGTTATCAAAGAGTCATGGTGGCAATCTTTCATGATTTCATCCACATATATATTGAGATCTACAGTGATGACATTGTGGTGAAATCCAAAACAAGACTAGGCCACTTCAATATGTTGAGGAAAGTCTTCAATAGATGTTGTCTATACAAGCTAAAAATGAATCCAACGAAGTGTGCATTTGGCATTTCCATTGGGAAATTCTTGGGCTTCCTTGTGAGTAAACACGGTATCAGTGTGGATCCGGCCAAGTTTAAAGTTATCCAAGCCATGTAGCCACCTAAGAATCTCAAACGACTATGAAGTTTCATTGGCAAGGTCTCATATATTTGTAGATTCATCCTTTCATTGGCAAAAATAATATCTGTATCTAGCCCTTTGTTGAAGAAAGGAGCCACTTTCGTGCGGAAGGTAGAGTAGCAACATGCCTTCTTACATCTGCAGGATCTTATGCTTAGATTGTCGACCATATTTGTCCCCATCCAAGGTAGACCACTTAAAGTCTATTTGTCTACTTCTAACAAAGCTGTGAGTGCACTGGTTGCCCAAGATGACCAAGAAGGCAAGGAACAGCCAGTTTATTATGTTAGTCAAAACCTCAAGGGCGTCGAATCAAAGTACCCTTTTGTTGAGAAAATTTGCCTTGCATTAATTTATGTATCTCAATGTCTTCGACCTTATTTCTTGGCTCATAAGATACAACTCATCACCAAGTCTCAACCTATTTGGTACCTTTTAACATAGCCCATGCTCATTGGCCGTCTTGCTAATTGGCTCCTTCAACTATCTCAATATGATATTACCTACGTTAATCCCACTGCCATAAAGGGGCAAGCTGTTGCAGACTTGCTGTCTAAGTTTTCTAGTGAAGTTCAGTATCCTATATCTGACAAAGTCCCAGGTAGTGAGGTTGCTATCGCATAAGAAATTGAGGAAGAATGGGCATTATATTTCGATTCTTCTTCTGCAGCTAAAGGGGCTCGGATTGGCATTATTCTCAAAAATGACAAAGGCCATGATACGGTATTTTTATTCGAGCTTGATTTTCAGTGCACGAATAAGACTGTAGAGTACGAAGCTTATCTTATTGGGCTTGTTATGGCTAAAAAGACTGGTGCACAGCGCTTGAAAATTATTGGCGATTCAGGTCTGATCCTTGGCCAAGTTCAAGGTACCTTCGCTGTCCGAGAAGAACTTGGAGCAGTCCTTCGCCAACATAAGATATAAGTAGATACCACGGATGGAGAACCGATTGGCTGATGCCTTGGCCACATTGGCTTCGAGAGTGCCTATGGTCGAGAATCCCTTCAGCATCCAGATTGTTTGAAGAAAGCAACTTTTCTATCGTGGTTACGAATCTGCTTTGCCTGAGTTACCCGACCATGTTAACTGACGGTATAAGATTTATAGCATTTTGTTGTAGCAAAACTCTAGCGTGCCTCTAAGGGACCTATCTAGCTATGTTATTATTTCTCGCGAGCTATATTAACGCCTTCTTAGCGGAATCTTGGCCAGGTGCATCAGTGATAAGGAGGCTTATCACAAACTTATGGTAATTCATAATCGCACGTGGTCACGATAACCATGTAAGCCTCTATTGTCGTATCCAGCGAGCAGGATACTATTGGCCAAACGTGGCTTTAACATCTACTGAATTCCAACAACAATGTGTATCTTGTCAATAGACTTACTATCAAAACGAAGAATGCTTCTCTATTGACAGTTTTTAAGATTGGCGTCATCCTTACATGGAGTACTTCACTGAGGGAATGTGACCAGAATCCTTGAAAGATGCACACAATCTAGAGAGACCTTTGTCGAAATTTTTGATGGATGGTGGAGTTCTATTTTGTACCAGCTTTGCCGACGAGCCACTTTGCTGCTTATCATTAACAAAATCTCAGAAAGCCATAGCAAGGGTGGAGAAAGCTGTATGAGCAACTTTTAGCTCATGGTTATTATTGGCCAAGCATGAAGCAAGATGCTGCAGATTTCATTCGACGATGTCACACTCGCCAGGTTCATGCTAGCCTTATCCATTCCCATCCTAATTTGTTGCAAGATATGACAACTCCTTGGCCTTTTCAAACTTGGGGCTTAGATCTCATCAATCCCATTCACCTTTCATCTGAGGGTTACATTTGGATATTGGTGGCCACCAAATGTTTCACCAAATGGGTGGAAGCCATTCCTCTTCGTAAGGCTACAGGCCCAGCGGTGTTAAACTTTATCAAGGAACACATAATCTGCCATTTTGGGATCCCATACAAAATTGTAAGTGGCAATGGAACTCCTTTTGTTAATCAACATGTGCGAAAATTGCTGGACACTTATAAGATCAAGCATTGGAAGTCCACTCCCTATTACCCCAAGGGCAATGGTCAAGTAGAGGCAACTAACAAAAGTTTGCTAAGAATTCTTAGCAAAATGGTCTATGAGTACGAAGGAGGGTGGAGCATTCATTTGCAAGATACTCTTTGGGCACATCGAACGTCATCCAAGACTGCTACAAGTTTGTCACCTTATTTTCTAGTATATGGTTGCGATACAATCCTTCCTGATAAAGTCTTAGTGCCAACTGCACGCATCTTGGCTGCATTTGAGTTGGACAACGATGTTGACATTTGTGGCCAAAGGAATTGAAGACTTGGAGTCTATTGAGGCACTTCATCAGATAGCACAAGAAAAGGCTTAGAAATACTAAGCCAAGATGACAATTACCTATAACTGTGCAGTCAATGCTAGAGTCTTTACAGTTGGATAGATGGTCTTTAAGGCTTTTGACCATATAAGGAAGAACATCCCTGGACCATCCAAGTTCGCTGCCAATTGGAACGATCTCTTTGTTGTTGCTGAAGCACATGATAGCAAATATTATCGCCTCAAAACTCACAATGGAGAATCGTTATCGGATCTCGTGAATGCTAAGCGGCTCAAGCTGTACTATTGTTAGGCTTCACCAACCTCATCTATTTTTGTAATTTTATCTCTGGTGTTATCATTTATTCCAGCCAAGAGAGTTAATTTAAATGGTGTATCATCAAATGTAAGGTGCAAATAACACTTTCTTATTGTGGTCGGCACTTTATGTATCGGCCTATTTAGACTCCTTTCATCTTGCTCTATCATGTAAAAGGACAGAGAGTGTTCAAAAAAAAAAAAAAAGAGAGAAGGAGAAGAGAGAAAAAGAAAAAGTGCATCATATAACGTGATTTAAAACAACCTGCCTGATCCAATTCTTTAGTACAAATTTCTCTGTCTAGTTGATATAGTTGGAGCAACACGGAGAAATGAGTAAGAAAATAAAGAAGCAACAAAGTCCAGCTATAAAAGAAAAGGAAGGGGTCGAGCCCATCTCCAAAGGTTTTGGCCAAGGTTTTGAAAATCGGATCGGACCGGACGGTCGGACCGGTTGAACCGGTACCCGGTGATCTAAACGGTTCGGTTACACTTTTTGAACCGTTTAAACGGTTAAACCACTTGAAACCGCTCGAACCGGTGAACCATTTGAAACCGCTCAAACCGTTCAACCGGACGGTTCAATGCTGGGGGCATAAAATCTTGAGAAATTTGTGTCCGCCGGGAGTTGAACTTGCAACCTTAGAGTCTTTGAGTTGATCCTTTGCCACCAGGACAATGCAATGCTTAAGTCAATGAGTGCTTGGACTTTTATTTAACCCATATAAATCCCAAAGATTTTAACATTATTACTGATTACAAGCTTGAGATTCGAACACTTAGTCTCCAAGTTGTAGAACAACGACTTTTCCACTTGTACACAATGTTCTTTTGTCATTTTAATGCTTTACAATTTACTTATTCTACTTTAAGCATAATTATATTAAAATTTGTTATTGGGAGGACTTGAACTCCGAATCTCTTTTATAGAAACTCAGCCATCTACCAGTGCAACCCACCAATACCGTGTGATATCTTTTGCAAAATCATATATTTATAGTATTTCATTAAGCCGGCGGTTTTACCGGTTAAACCGTTGAACCGTTCAAACCGCGAACCGGAGGTCAAAACGGTTTGACCTCCGGTTCGGGTTTGAAAACATTGGTTTTGGCAGCTTCCATACAGGCCTGGCAAAGTTCAGTCACACCGTTGGAATGCATACGTTCTTTTTCTTGGTTGAGCGATCCTAGGTAAGCCTTGGCTGACACCAATCCTTCTTCTAGTTTGACGACAAGTTCTCTTGTCTTGGCCAAAGACTTCTCCATCTCTTCAATATGCTTTGCCTGCTCCTTGATTCACTCATCCAAGCCCTCAGCCATGTCACCTTCGGCTGCGCCAAACTCGGTCTTCCCAAGGTATGCCTTTGCCAAGGTTGATAAATAAGTGCGAAGGGTGTTGACTTCGAAGTTTATACTCTCAGCATCGTCAAGGGCATTCCTACACAGATAGAAGAAATAAGAAATCCTCATTTATTTCAGCAAAGGGAGTGACCTCCATGTGCTGCATAGTTGCACAAAGGATTGAGAAGGTGCCTTTGACCACCACCTTCTCAGCCTTGCTGCGCGTTGTGAGATTTGGAAAAAAATGTCTAGCAGGTGGTGCGCCCACAGTTCCAACATTGCGGGCACTACAAACCTGCCCACTATTCGAGAGCCACCTAGGGGCACTAAGCTAAACCGGGCCAATGAAACATCCTTGTTCTTATTCATCTCGTCAAGATTCTTGAGTGGCCTCATGGTCGAATCGTTGATCTCACGTGACTTAGCTAGAGTTACGGATGACTAGCCACTATGCTCAGCTTCGTCGGGACAAAAAACTTTCTTCGCTAAGCTCATGACTGGCGTGCTAGTGTCCATTTTGCCTTTGCTGGAGACGGATTTCTTCGAAGCATTGCCCACATCTGATTCAAATTCTTCGGGGGCAACCCTGTTCATGTCAATGCTGCCTTGAGAGTTAGCAACTTTGCCCCTCTGTTTGGAACCATTCTCACTCTCAGACAAGGCATCATTGCTACTGGACTGATGGCTATTGCTCTCATTGGAATCAGAGTTGATTACCTCGGTGACCTTCTTTCCCTTTTCTTTATCACCACCGATTATGGCCTTGGCCTCGCCCTTCTCAACACTTGGCAAAGTGAATGGAAGCACGACTGATCAATAGAGAAATATATCGTTCAACCAAGCAAGGTGTTGAAATTCAAACTATTTCATTGAACGACTTCAAGTACCTTTCTCACCGTTGGCAGCACCAATTTTCCTCGCTGGTATAAATCCCCCGGGAACCATTTTGAAGTCACCAGCCCTGAAAAAAGGTAATTCACTAATGGGACGCGATTGTGCACAAGGAGAAAAAAAAAAAAAAAGTTAACGGCTTCATCTCGGCAAATATTAAGAGTGATTTTCAATTTTTTACAGAGACATAGGGGCTCATACCTTTAACACCATCACTTCTGGTTAAGTCTTTGCCATTTCAAGCTTTTTTGTTACACTGGGGGTACCATATGAGACCTTTACACCTCCCCTAATCTACAACAGAATAAAAGGGAGGCTTAATAAGAACATTTTGGCCTTTCTTGAAATAAGGGACAAGTCTAAACGGCTTACCATAGTAGGCTTTTGTGGCGGAACTTCGTTGGCTTTAGCCTTCTTCGTTGACACGGTTGTGAAGGATGCAGGATCACTCCAATCAATGATAGAGTCAACAACATTAAGTATGTCATCAGGAAGCGGAGGCTCACCTATTTAACTAGCCAAATTTTTTTAGGTAACTTCAGGGTTAGCCAAGGCTTCCTCCATGTTCATTGCCAAGGCTTCCACCCGCTTAGCTCTTTAGCCTTGGACGAAACTTTATTGTCACCAAGAATCGGGATTGGACAAAAGCCTTTGCTAGAAGCTGTTGATTGCTGATATAAATATTAAGTCACATGTCAAAGGATCTTTAGTGAGGTCAACAACAACCAAAAGGGCGGATAGACGAAAGGCCGAGCAGCATGCTTACCTGGAACAAAGCACTGGAATCATAATACTTCTCACCCAAGCGCCTACCGCCATGAACGGGTCTCAATCTCTTGATCCACTCAATCACCTCGGAATCTAGATCGCCCCAGGATAAGGATGGCAATTTCCTCCGCGACCCGCGGAGGTTCACGGAGATACCCGCCACGGGGATGGAGATTCTCAGAATATTCCTACCCGTGGGGCGGGGATGGAGGTAATTTTTTACCCGTGAAATTTCGCGGGGAATTTTCTCCGCTCCGTGGGTAACCGTGGGGATCCATATAAAATAAAAAAAATATAAATTTATTTTTATATATATATATTTTTTGTATATATATTAACAATTAATTTTTACTTACCCAACCTAATTAATTAACCCAATACCAACATAACTTAAATTTCACAATCCATTCTTTTTTCAAATTTTCCAAACCCAATTCTCACTTCTCAGCCCAATCCAATTTTTGTTGTGAATCTAATATTCCTATTTCCTAAATTTAATTGCCCAAATTCCCAATTTACAGCCCAATTTACAGCCCAATTTACATATAACCCTGGCTGCCAAGCAGAAAGACATTTTATTTTCACTTTTTCAGTCCCTTTTTAGCTTGCCGCTTCTTGCAAATTCTGAATTAGGGATTTCCCATTCCTCTCTCGCCTCTCGGTCGACTTTCCTCTCCTTTAATCCTCTGCCACACTCTTCACTCATGCTCAAACTCTGCCCTCATCTCCACGGACCTTCACAGTGATTCCCTTCAACTCTCGACCTCTCACGGACTCACGGTGCCATCACTACAGCCCTTGGCCCTTGCTGCCCTGCAAGTCTGCAACTCACAGCTCACCTCCAGTTGAGCTCCAAGGCTGCTGTTGGGTCGTCTCAGCCAGCCTCTCACCGTGGCACCCTACCATCAGCTCGTCACTGCAAGTCAGCACCGCTCACCTCCAGCTCCTCCAAGGCTGAGTCGTCCTCTTTCTCTTTTGGTTGTCGTGTGGCTTCCTCCTCTGCAGCTCTGCCTCAGTTCTTTTCAAACTCTCCAACTCTAGGTATCAATTAGATGCAGTTTCTAAAGCTACCGTTTTTGTGCTTTGCTTTAGTGATTCTAACTAGTATAATTTAATTTTTGTGGGAGTGCACCATAGTAATTCTTAATTTAATTTTTTTGCTTTACTGCTTTGTGCTTTAGTGTTTTTAACTATCAAAAAATTAATGTTCATTGGAAAGCTATTTGTGTACTTCTGTTGATATTGCCAAATCTGCTGGTCAAGAAGCAGCAGAAACCATAACCCAAGTATCTGATAGGTATGGTTGTATTGATATCTGATGTGTGTAGACAATTTTATGAACCACAGATGCTTATGATGTGCATGGAATCGCAGTGTAATTCCGGCCTTCAAGTCTGCTGCTCAGGAGCTTTTGAAAAATTCTGGACTATCAGCTGAAGATCTACTTGCAAAAGCTCTTGCCAAGGCTGCAGTGAGTTTTATTCCTTATCAGCCCTGGAATTTCTTTCTTTTATTTTTTATTTTTTGGAAATAGGGCAAGTTTAGAGGCAGGTGAGTTGCCTGAGTTTGAACCCAGGGTGACCTACAAATGCAGGACTTGTAGGTCGTCAAGCTTTAAGCTTGGAACATGAACCATTCGGGCACATGGTTTGGCTCTATTAGCCAAGGAATTTCTTGTATTCTGATATTATGAAATACTTCATTATCTGGTGGTTTCTTTCTTTTTTCCTATTAATTTTGTACTTCTGATTTTCATTTTGGTTAAAAAAATCTTATTATTGCATAATGTTGCAGGGTTACACTGAAATAAAGAGTAGATCACTTCTTACATCCATGGAAGACCATGTTACATTACTCCTTGAAGCTGGAAAACCCATCTATACGCCATCGTAAGTACCCCAAGTTTGCATCTTTGATCTCTGTTAGCCATATGTGTACTTCTATTCTAATCTTCTAGGCAAGATAACTGATATGTTGCTTGATGAATTTAATTGTATTTTCAACAATCGTTTCATGTTATGGCCTATATTCTTCCCATGGCCCCTTCGAATCTTATTCACTTTTTTGATTCTTTTTGTTTTTTTTAATGTATAAGATTTGCATATGGTGTATTGAGGAGATTCTTGCCTGAGGAAAAGGTTGAGTCAGTGAAGGGTCTGACACTCA